GAAGACAGGCTGACAGAAGTGAAGCTGTTCAGCTCCGCAAGACCTTACAGCAGACTTTCAGTCTTTAAAGGGGACTTTTAAGAAAGACAGACTTTTCATCAGGGCCTATAGGGACAAGACAAGGGGCAACGTTTTTCAAACTGAAAGAGGATAGATTTAGATTAGATATTAGGAAGGAGTTCTTCCCTGTGAAGATGGTGAAGCACTGGCACAGGTTGCCCAGAGCATCTGTGGCTGCCCTGTGCCTCGAAGCGTTCAAGCCAGGTGGGATGGGGCTTGGAGCAAACTGGTGTTTGACCACACAAGGTGTCCCTGCCCATGGCAGGGGGCTGGAACTAGATGAACTTTAAGGTCTCTTCCTCAACCCAAACCAATCTACAATTCTATGGTACACATAATAGAAGAAAAACATAATACCTAATTCAAAGCCTTTTGTAAGACATTAAGTGATTTATCCATAAAATCAGCATAGTACCTGCTAAACAATTAAGTCTTGCCTTGTATGCTACTAAACAGTAATTTGTCATTTAATTTTTCAAAACTAAAGCAAAGATCAGTCCAGTAGGAGGACAAACAAACCACATGAACAGCAAATGCATTAACCCAAACAACAACTTTGCCCTTGGCACTAAACCAACATAATTAACTAAGTAACTTTATCTTCACCTGCAGGCAAACCACAGTATGCAATATATTATGCTACACACATAATAATATTTAAGGTTTATTCATAAGATGTTAATTAACAATTAACACGCTTTGTGTTGTGTTGTGGGGTTGAACTCTGCCTCCATACATGCTTCATCACAACCTATGGCTCCAGAAGGCTTAGTGCTTTAAACTTTAAGCTACACTTGATCCCACACACTTAAAATCAAAGGTAGATCAGAGAGATAAGAGGCTCTTATCTCCTCCATGTACACATCATGCAGATTCTTCCAATTCTCAGCAAAAAGTTTGTGAGAAACCACTTCTTTTTTGATAAGTACATTTTTATGTCTGGAGTGCACACACTACTGTTCCATGACCTTTACCAACAGTGACTAAATAAGATGGTACAGACCCTAGAAAAGGGGGTGGTTCTCAGTTTAGAGACATGATGACAGCTTTCTGCACTGCATATCATTAACAGAATGAGGAATAATGGAAAGTTTCAGATAAGTACACAAAGGCACAAAGCAAAGTTTGGGAAGCTACTATGATGTTCACTACCAAGGAGCGGCAGGGTCCTTACTCAATTTTGTCACGAAAGTTAGTACTTTCATACCTATTATTTAAATGGCACACAGGGACAGTATCCAAAGCAAGCAAATGATGTTATTTCTTTTTTTTCAAGTGGCAGTGCATGGATGAAATATAACACAAACAGCAGAATCAGTAGTAAGCATGTGTCCACCTGGACTACTGCTATTACGAGGGTCAACGTCTATGGACAAGCTTGACTTCGCAAAGAAGTCTGAGCAAGTATTGTTTTGCTAACAGAGTAATATCTGATTCAGGATACATTAAATTAATGGAAGTTTTGCTCTTGAACACTGTGGAAACAACTGAATCCACTAACCCTGAATTCTTTAACTCCACACCCCAAAAAAGAATCTATTTATTTTCATCAGACTCTTAATGGTGTTTCTATTACATTGTCCTGTATTGTTATTTTTTCTCATATTATTTTTCTAACTGCATCTGAACAAACTAACCATCTGAACAAACACAAAACATCATATGAAAGAAAAGTGTTATCCTGTATTTTTCCAAAGACATATGGTGTTTTCTGTGTTGCCTTGTAAGCTTTGCCCTGGCAGGACACAACAGGTTACTGCTCTGTATCTTACTGGATTCAATCTGCATCCGTGGTTCCTAGGTAGACACAAATGATTCTGCTGTCATCCTAGAGAAGTGTGTTCCACAGCACAGAATAAATTCAATTGCAGAAATATAGGCAGATGCAAGCAAATTCAGTAGGCCCCCCTCTCTTCCATGTGCATGTGTGGACCTTGTATAAATCTGAATCTCTTAGACTTGAGGCGTCCTCCGCAATCTGCAGTTCCAGAGGACTTGTTCATATGGAGCAAGTTACTGCTACCTGCACAAGCAGTGAGTCATCAAAGGGTTTCTGCTAGGAAACATGCACTATTTAAGGAACACACAGGAAGGAGCATTACCTTTTCTGCACCCAATGTCATCTTTAGGCCTACTGAGGTTCAAACCTGTGTACATTTCACACAGTATGGAAGCACATATGTAATTATGTGCTCTTGTGATCTTCTGTAGGATTGTTTTTGCATTAAGTTTACTTCTCTACAAACCAAACCAAGGAAGGCATCCCAAACCTTTTGTATTCTACAGAGGAATTCCTCAGTAGTGACCTTGAATCCTGCCTTTCTGTTACTATGAAGATACAGCTTTCAGATGTTCAGCAAGCTTAGCATGCCCTGAAAATATGGTCTCTCTGAGATAGCTCCAGTTGACCACCCAAAAAATGGTCATCAGGATGGCCATTAACTGGCTGAAGATCTTGAGCTATATAACTGTATAAAAACTATATAACAGTATATACCATGTATAAAAAACTATATAACAGTTTAAAAACTGAGGTAGACTGAAAAAGATTTAACTACAATTAAGGAAAATCTCAAGACTCCATTTGTAAGCAGTTATTCTTCTGAGTGATTTAACTTTACCTCATAATGAAAACAAATATTAAGGACATTAAGTGTTGGAAGTCAATCCCAAAGCAGCGTGCAAAGCAGGAACTTGATTCTGGTATGTTTATACCGATTGAATACAGCCAGTTTTCACTAACCTTACAAGCTACAGAGTGCCAGTGTGTACGGAAGTGCAAATAATTTAATGTCGATCTTCAGTATGGAGCTTCAGGGGCCCTTAAAAGCAGTCATGTTGGCAGCTGCACTCATCAAGCTTAAATTTCACAGCGTAAACCAGTGTTTACATACACCCTAATGGCCTGAAAGGTGTCATAACAGTTCACTGGGTCAGTAATCTTCAAGGCTCATCAAAACTTGACCTTCCTAGACTGGAAGGACTCCACACCAATGGTGATGGGCAATCAAACGTGGCTGTATGCAAGATAATATGCACATAACAAGAACAGACATCAGTGATTCCCACTACCACAACATGGCAAAGCACAGCGTGCATGTGTCGCCACACATTGTACCACTCTCTGGAAGCACTGCCTCTCTCTCCCTAGGTCAGTTCAACAGTCACGATGTAGACACCTGAATTAACGTCAGGGCAAGTGCCTGAAGTCAGCCGGGGTCCAGCTCAGGACTGCTCCCGGATCCAACTCAAGCAGTGGAACACCGCACCCTGTGTCCCCCTGCCAGCAGCAGGCACCTCCCCGCGCGTTGCTGCCTTCAGGCCCCGAGCGGGGCAGCGGGGTCCGCTCCCCACCGGCGGGGAGAGGCGCTCACCCGCCCCCCAAGGTGAGGGGCGCCGGCCGCCGCCTCAGCTCGGCTGACCGTTAGGGAGTGGCTGCCGCCGCGACGCTGCTGCCCCTGCCTGCCAGGGCGAGGGGTGGCAGCCGCGCTCCGAGCACCAGCGCTCTTGCTCTGCGGCCGTGAGGCACGGCCCTGCCCGCCCCGCCTGCGGCCGCTGTCCCGCCGCCCTTACCGGCGAAGTTCTTGGTGAAGACGAGCGTGACCAGGAGGATGGGGATGAGGACGGTGCCGATGGTGACCACGCGGTCGAAGGGCAGCTCCAGCTTCAGTTGGATGAGCAAAGCCGCCAGCGCGCCCGCCTTGTCATCCTGCTGCCCCGGCAGGATGAGCTCCTTCAGCTTCTCGCCCGCCAGCAGCGCGGTGGCCATGTCGGGGTGGTTATCGATGATGTGTTGCATAAGCGGCAGCGGCGGGCGGCCTCACGCCGCCGGGCCTCCCCGGGGACGGGCGTCGCGCTGCGGAGGGCTGGTTGCGGGCGGCGCCCGCCGGCCTGCGGGAGCAACACCGACAGCGGTGACAGCGGTAACGGCGGGGGCGCGGCTGGACCCTTTGCCGCAGCGGCACCGTGCCCGGACCGACAGCCCCCCGGGCCACCCCCGAAAACCCCTCACCCAGGGAGAAGGGTGCAAACGGGCCGGCACAACGATGCAGCCGGGCAACCGCAATGCCAGAAGCCGTGCAGGGCAAGGCAGCCTCCCTCTCCCCAGAGCCGAGCTGAGAAATGCCACGAGAGGCGGGCAACAAGAGCTGCACGGTGACAGCTCTGCCATTAAACGCTGCCTCCGCTCTGCAGTTCATGCAGTACAAAGGCGGCGGAACAGCCATGCAACAAGGCAGACTGGAGCTGCCTCTCCTGAACGCTGCAGACAAGGAAGAGGGCATTTACCTGTCAACTTCGGCTCGCGCGGTTCCCAGGGGATGGTGAGCAAACCCGATGGCTTGTAAATAACGGCGGAAGCCGCGAATAAACTTACACTGGACCTTCCTGCCGGAAAAAGGGTCCCTGCACCTCCGCGAGTAACAAAATCGCTCCGAATTCGGAGCGGGAGGCGAGTGATGTGTTGATGCTTGGTATTGCCGCGGGCGGGTGGCGCTTGCATGGAAATGCCCGCCCGCACCGAGCGGCAGTAACGTGCAGAGCAATTCAAGAAGGGGCTTGCAGCAACCGTGGGGAGGAGGAGGAGCACCGGAATGAATTGCGGGAACGGAGAGGTCCTGTGAGGTGTTAAAGCGAGCAGCTGTAGCCCGCTGTAGCCGCAGCAGGCGGCAGTGGTACGGAGGCACATACACACACGAGCCTACACGGTGCGGCCCGGCCTCGGGCGGCGGCAGCCGCTTCCCCGCAAGAGGCAGCGCGCATGCGCTAGCTCGGGTCGGGAGCGCGCCGCGCCCTTTGGTGCCGGTTTGAGGGGCGCCGGAGCAGGCGAGGGTAGAAGGGGTTCGCGGGTACGGAGGACCCCGGCAGGAGCAGGCCCTGGCTCCCTCCCCTCTCTCCCCTCTTCCCCTTCTCCCCCCCTCTCCCGCAGCACGCACGGGAGCTCCGGCCCGTGTACGGCGGCGCCTCCCGCAGCGCAGTGGGTGGTGAGGACACCGTAGACCCTCACCCCGGCGTGCTGTGCCCTGAAGGTCTGGAACCTGCGGGCACCTTAGGATGTAGGTGCTGCCATGAGAAACTCTTGCAAATGCTTGCTCATTAAAGCTCATGTGGGGTTAGCCACACCTGATAAAAAAGCCAAAGGAGTTTTATGCCAGAAGTGCAGAAGACAGCTTTCAGCTTGCCTCAAGCATAATGGGGTTCAGGCCTGTATCTTCATAGAGGTGACCAGACCTTGCTGTCCATCCCTGGAGCAGGCTGGGAATGGAGCACTCTTTAGGCAAAAGGAGGACAGTGCTGCATCATAGTTAGCAGTCACAGCATTCAAACAAAAGCTCTGGGTCACAGTTCTTCCTTCTCAAGTTGTTTATGGATTTTATATTTAGCAGTACTTAGATGAAAACCAGAGATACGCTTAAACAATGTTGCTGACATTTCTCTCAAAGATTTGCAGTTGTCATCTGCAGCGCTGCATAAATAAGGCAGAGATTTTAATTTTTGCCTTGAAGTTTCTCCAGTGGCTGTGAACAATGTGGTGGTGCTACTTGTTAATCAGGTTTAAATGTTGGGTGCAAGCTTTAAATAATACCTCTTGGCAGGGGTCCTACCATCCAGGCAGGGGTGTAATCAGCAAGGCAAGAGGGATGTCCTGATGGTGACAGCCCTTACAGACGATCCCTGGCAGCAGACGCAGGCTGTCAGTGCCACATGCTCCTGAAGAGCACTGAGAATGAGAAGGCAGGAGAGATGAAACCTGAAGCTGTCACCATCACTCATTTCATTTTCCTTTGCTCCTCACCCTCTGTAGGGCCTTAGGGCCTGTGGCTCTGTATATCAGCCACTAGTACCCAGTCTTTCCATTCCAACAACGGACAACTGAAACTCCGTGTGCACCAGTTACTGCTGTTACCCAAGGGGTGATGCTGAGCAAGGTGGACTACAGTAATGGTCCACTGCTAGTAGACTAGCAGTACAACTGATTATCTGCACAGCTTTTGCCGAGACTTACATCATCATAATCTTTTTCCCATGCTTTTCTCTGCTGTTGGCAATCTTGTCCTGCACATTGAGAATGTTGCTGAAAGACCAATTTACTAATCCTCACTTTGTCTTCTCCTTTCTGAATACTGTCTTTTGCCCATCCAGTTACTTAATTCAAAACAAGCCGCTTGCTTTTTGTTTTTGCAGGCTTCCCGTGGTATTTCTCCTACCTTCCCCTGCCTAAGCCCTTGCCATGTCTGGATGCTTCCTCATGTTTTCCCATGAGAAGATAATGCCAGCCTCTAGTGACCATTTCCCAGGAAGCTTGGTGTACACATCTACAAACCTTAAGACTATAGGAGCAGCCATCCTGGGTCCTTCTAGTCCCTTATGTCTTCAAGTGTGGCTATAACTGGACAAATAAAGAAGTATGAAAATGAGGCAACCTCTGTCGATGCCTTTTCCCTAACACTGTCCCAGCTTCCAACTATGTTTGGGAAATTTCCTCAGCTTGTGACTGTGTAATAACCCCCAAAAGGTTTCTTCTCATAGTATTTTTTCTGGTCTCCTGTTGGGACTGTGCAAATTTCTGCCCTCCACAGCCTGTTTTGTTAAGGAATTCCACAGGCTTGCAATCTGTTGTATAAAAACCACCATGCACTGTTTGTTTCAAGCATAATTTAATTTTATGTGCTATAGTTATGAGAAGGTATTTGGATCAATCCCTGCCCATCTTTTCTATGATGCATATGCTTTTGTAGACATCAGTTGCATCTTCCCCTAAATTATATCTAGTTCCACATTTAGTGTGCAAGAAGTCCTACTGGCATAAAAAAAATAAATCAGACACTCTAAATTAAATGATATCCACAAGTAATATATACTTCTCTTTTGAAGCTTGCTTCATTATAATGCCATTATTTGATTTAATCGCATTGATTTTGTAATCTTGCTTGGCAATGTTATGTCTGTAGCAAGCCAAAGAGGCAGTCAGGATGGAGCCGTACCATCGGACCAAAACATGAGTAAACAGAAACCTGTAGTAGGACAGAGAGTGGGACATGGAAAATTACTGTCATAATTTACGGACAAACGCTGTGGCTAGTGTCTCAGTAATAACATGCTGGCATGTATGCTGCTGGCTAATCTAGACAGTGATCAGGCTGTGATAAAAATCCTGTGCTAATAAATATTTCACAAGCTGCTGGTAGGGTCAGAAATTGATTTACAGATCAAAGTGGAAAGCCATGTGTATGTATTCTAATGAATTCTAACAAAAGATCAAAAAAAGGAGTATTATTTTTAGACAGTTTGAAGAAATTGGTTGATGTTATAACAAATATATTGATTCCTGAAGGGAAAGTGTGTGTGGCTTTTTAAAATCTTGTTTTCTGAAGTTCTGCAAGTTCAGAAATTTAAAAGCAAATGAGTAGAAGTGAGAGATTGATTGCAAATTCTGAGCTGTAGCATTCATAATTTGCTTCTAAGCAAAGGGTTTGCTACATCTAGATGTAGGGTGAGATTTATCTATTTGAACATGAAAGCATCTGAGCTAAACACTGCAGAGCACTATTCCTGAATCATGTAGGAGGAGGAATAACTAAATGTAATGGTGCAGTTCATGTGACTAAATGCAGAGGTCCCCTTCAAAATGCGATGAATCATTTCCACATTGTAGGTGTCCAGAGCTTACACATGAATCCCACTTACTGTCTATTACAGCTTGTCCCAGCTTAGGCATTTCCTCAAGGGTGACTGCGAGCTCTCCTTGTCCTTGTCAGTTCATAGTCACTTGGGAATTGCTGCCTTTTAATCTGGTGGTTTTAGTGTCAGTCACACTACCATGAATCTGTCATGCAGTTCTCCAGACTGTCTTTATGGAAAAAATGCAGTTTCCCTGATAACATTGCTGAGGAGCAGAATACCTGGAAAGTGGGGGGCGTTTCTTGCCTTCAGCCAAGGCTGTGACTGTCATCCATACAGCTTCTACCCCATCAGCCCTCCTTGGGAATCGCATCTTTCACTGAGCAGTGGCGTGGCAGCAGTGTGGTCTTCACACAGACCAGTTACTTCCGTGGTTGTCCAGATGCTCTCACTAGGCTAGGTCTGCAGTTAGTGCTGCCACAGCTCTGCAGGTATTGCTGTCTGCCTGCATGAGCAGCACCCTTCCTTTGGTGAGAGCAGTTATGCCTTTGCAGATGCACCCAGTGAGGCGAGACTGTGTAGGGTTGGCAGTAGGAACTGGCAGATGGCAGCGAGCTGTGACAATGGGTCTTGGCACTGAGGTGAGAGTTTTGGCAGTAAAGTGAAGTCAGATGCCGGAGGATAGTGAAAAGTGGCAACTGGCAATCACTGCTGGCATGGTGATAAGGCTTTGGCAGTAAGAGGAGGTTCTGTGCTCCCTGTTAAGAAAAAGTGACTCTTAACAGTAAGATGTGATACTGTTGCTGACATTGGCGAAGTATTTTTTTTTGGCAATGCAGGTCTCCTTGCAAATAGATCTCTTCTGGGGTTACTTAGAATAGAATAGACTATCTATCTCACTTTGAATGATCATCTAGTCCAACTGCCTGGCTACTTCAGGGCTGACCAAAAGTTAAAACATGTTACTAAAGGCATTGTCAAAATGCTTTTTAAACACTGACGGGTGTGAGGCATTGGCTACTTCTCTAGGAAGCCTGTTCTGGTGTTTGACCACTCTCTTGGTAAAGAAATGCTTCATAAAGCCCAGTCTGAACCTCCCCAGTGCAGTTCTGAGCCATTCCCACGTGTTCTGTCACTGGATACCGGGAGAAGAGATCAGCACCTCCCTCCTCACTTCCCCTCCTCAGGAAGCTGCTGAGAGCAATGAGGTCTCAGCCTCCTTTTCTTTGAACTAGGCAAGCCCATGGTCTTCAGCCACTCCACAGGACATTCTATTCGGCCCATTCACCAGCTTTGTTGCCCTGCCCAGCACTACACACAGCACTCAAAGTGAGGCTGCCTCAATGATGAATACAGTGGGATAATCACCTCTTTTGGTCTGCTGGTTATGCTGTGTTTGATGCACCCCAGGATGTGGTTTGCCCTGTTGGTTGCCAGGGCACACCACTGACTCCTACTGAGACTGCTGCCCACCAGAACCCCAGATCCCTTTCTGCAGGGCTGATCTCCAGCTACTCCTCTCCCAGTTTACACTTGTGCCCAGTATTACACTATCCAAGGTGCAGAATCCAGCATTTCAACTTGTCAAATGTTGTTGTCCTGTTAAACATGGTCCAATACTTCAGTCTATCTAGATGCCTCTTCAAGGTCTCCTGTCCCTCAAGAGGGTTAAACAGCACCTCCTGGTCTGGTATCACCAGCAAACTGGCAAGTGATGCACTCAACTCCTGCATCCAGATCATTGATAAGCAGTTTGAAAAGAACTGGCTGTAGAATTGAACCCTGAGGAACATGGCTGATGACTGGCCACCTGCTTGAAGTAGCCTCATTCACTACAACCCACTGAGCCCTGCCTTTCAGCCATTTTCCATTCCACACACTGTAAACCTGCTTGTCCCATAGCTAGATGGATGTTGTGAGGGACAATATCAGAGACCTTGCAAAAATCCAGAAAATCCATCCACTGCCTTACCTCCATCCGGGAGGTGGATGACCTTATCATAAAAGGATATCAAATTAGTTATATAGGACTTTGTGAACCCACACTGACTGTGCCTGGTGGTTGCACTATTCTTTAGATGCCTTCCAATCATACCCCAGATAATCTTCTCCAGGAACTGAGGCGGGACTAACAAGTCTGTAGTTCCCTAAAGTCTTTCCTCACACCCTTTTGTAGATCAGAATAACACCGGCTAGCTTCCAGACAGCAGGGAGCTCCCCAGGCACCCAAGACCTTTGATAGATGATTGAAAGGTGTCCTGCCACAACATCCATTAGTTCCTTCAGAACTCTGGGGTGAATCCCATCAGGCAGGCAAACATTCAGCTCATGCAGATGGTCCCTTACGATTTCAGTGTCCATAAACGGAAAGTCACTGTTCCACTCGTGTTCTATGTCGGGGCTTGTGCTCTAATGCTAAGTGGAGAAGACATTTGTCTTCAGCCAGTTGAGGTATTATCAGTCTTTGAGGTATATTGATTAATCAGTAAACATCATAACTGTTAATCAGTTACATCTTAGGCCTCCAATCTAAAGGAGAAGTCAGACACATAATAAACTATAATTATTTTAAAAGCTATTTTATATGCAAAAAGCTAAAACTATTTCCCAAAGACTTCGCAAAGAGTTATCTACAACAACCAGGAAAAGTAAACAGGAAGTACTTCTGCATCTTGTGATGTGGGACTTTTCCAGCATTGACCTAGTGCTTTTCTTCTAACATCATTATGGCATTGACTGTGGAGTCAAGAGAGCTTACAGTGGTGCAAGCCAAAAGGCTGTATGGAGCCCGAATGTGGATGTTTGGGGGGCCTCAGTACTGCAGCTGAAGGCAGCAAGACACTGTTCTGAAATGCTTCAGTAGCAGAGACTGCAGCTGCAAACAGATTGCTCATGCCAGGAAATGCATAGTGTTAGGAAGGCTGGGCATGTCAGTGCATGGGGCTTGGAGGTGAAATTACCAGTGTGAGACTGAAGAGACATTCAGACAGAGCCCACTGAAGGACAGAAACTAACACCAAGGGAAAAATGAAGAAAAGAGCATCTTAAAAATTAATTTGATTTTCATTTTTGAAGTTTGTATTAATTTCAGGGGAGACTAAAGATGGGGATGTGTTGTGTATTATGCTGGTTTTTGCTGGGGTAGAGTTAATTTTCTTCGTAGTAGCTGCTATGGGCTGTGTTTTGGATTTGCTCTGGAAACAGTGCTAATAACAGAGGGATGTTTTCGTTGCTGCTGAGCTGTGCTTTCACAGGGCCAAGGCCTTTTCTGCTCCTCGCACAACCCCACCAGCGAGCAGGCTGGGGGTGCACAAGGAGCTGGGAGAGGACACAGGTGGGACAGCTGACCCCAACTGACCCAAGGGATATCCCACACCATATGGTGTCATGCTCAGCATAAAAGCTGGGGGAAGGAGGAAAGGGAGGACATTAGGAGTGATGGCTTTTTTCTTCCCAAGTAACCATTATGTGTGATGGAGCCCTGCTGCCTTGGAGATGGCTGAACACCTGCCTGAACATGGAAGTGTTGAGTGAATTCCTTGTCTTGCTTTGCTTGTGCACAGGGCTTTTGCTCTACCTATTCAAGTGTCTTTATCTCAATGCACAAGTTTTCTCACTTTTCTCACTTTTACTCTCAGTTGCTGGCTGGGGTTAAATCACGACAGCATTGAGTTGATGATGACTTTATATTTGTATCTTTCTGTTGCCAGAAGACAGCTTGTTTCTTGTTTTAGTCTCTTGCGTCAAAATTCCAAATTCTGACAAAAGAAAGCAAGGCACATGCTTAACTGCTTTGCTGGGTACAGATTGCAATCAGCAACATTCTTTCAAACTCCACTCTGAAGCTCGCAAAGTAAAGGCTTCATCCTGCCAAGCAGCAGTATTAAATATCACATGGGGGCCATCATAATTCAGTTCAGAGTAGCAAACAGCATTTAAAGTTGAAGTAAACTCGTGATGCAAATGCACAAGTAAGTACAGATGGGATGGTGATGGCTTTTTTGTCGTTAAACCCCAAGTGAAGGGGTGAGAGCCCTGACTTCTGCTGCTAGTCCTGCTTGTTTGAGCATCACAAGCTAAAATATACAAATATCATTTGGAGCAAGGAACAGAACTTTTTAGGACTCATAAACTGCTGGGAGCCCTTACCTTACTATGCTACGCATGGGTCGCCAATTGCTTGTCCCTTCTCCCTGGTCCCATTAATTTTGCACTCTCTGCTGCACATTGGCACTACTTCAGCAGGACGGATGGAGAATACTACTGCTGTAGCCTATTTTGTAGCATGAGTTGGCATTTTACTGAGAAGTACAATTCAAATTCTTCTCTGAAGAGGGCCTAAAGCTCAGATTTCTCATGTCCTGGGGAAGTGATGTAACCCCGGGGGTATCACGTTATCTCCTCTGCTGCAGGATGTCAGAATTTTCTTTAATGAAAAATAAAGGAAAACGCTAATGTTGTAATTTTACAGTTGCTCAGAGCATTCAGTTATGCTTAGTCTTGTTATTTCTGTGCATCAGCCTTCAAATAAATGGTATGTTAAGAGGGAAGTTTTAACCCTACATCTTGACATACAGAAGAGGGTTTCCTTCTCTTGCATGTTTGTTAAGGAATTCTAGCTGGGTTCTGCACTGAGCTCCAGGTCTGCAAGGTAAGCTGTGCTGCCAGCAGGCTGAATGTACTGCTGTTACCCTGGAGGGAGTTCAGGAAGAGAGACTGCTGCAGAGGCAAAAGAGAGGCTGTGTTCCAGGAGGTAGAAAATGCAGGAGGAACAGAGCAGAGAACTTGGCACAGGTTTGTGGAATAAAGAGAATCAGTGTGAGGGACAACAGTGCTGGTTCACAACCACCCAGCAACATCCAGCATGTTTGCTTGTGGGTCTTTGATTCTGTACAGGGTTATGAGCACTGAGCTCCCCAGTCCCTGCAGCATTGGTCAGATCTGTGTCTGGTTCTGGAGAGATGCACGTGCCCTTCCCTGCAAAGATTCCTTTGCAGATGCTTAACAGGGAGTGAATGTGGTCTTTGCATTTTTGCTGCCACAGAGTGAAGACGATTCCAGGGAGATGGACAGCTCAAGCAAATGAAGGGGAGAAACAGTCCTCATCCATATGGTCTCTAGTCAGCTCTGCATCACATGTGCAAGTAAAGGTGTGAAAGGGAAAAGAAACAGGGAGAGATAAGGAGGTAAGAGAAACTCCTGCATTTTTCGTGAGTTTCTGTTCATGCAGTTTGCAGTCTTTGTGATAGTGACCATTAGCTGCTACAATCAGTCAGCTGTTCTCACTACAAAACTATTTTAACCCTGTTGCATACACTTGCAAAAGTAATGCAGATCATTGTTTTTAACACTGGTATTGTCCATTTAATTGTAAGGAAATGAGAAGGAGCAGCTGTGCCAACGTATTATTATGAATGTATTTGAAACCAGTGGGTAATCTACACAGTTCAATTCTAGGGATTCCCACGTCCCCAAGCCAGCAATCTCAGAGATTTACATTTTAATTGATATTTTATTCTGTAAAGGAAAATAAAAGCCCTCAGCTACCCAAGTCCTTCCAATTAATTAGACACAAAATACTCCATAAAGATTAACAGTGCCCTTATCCCAGGAGTGCTCAAAAAAAAAAAAAAAAGGCACTTTAGAATCTGTAAGATATCAGTACAACATGTGTAACAACTGCTCACAATCCACAAAACAACACATGCATTTGCACAGTAAGTAATTACTCATTAGAACTGTCGGGTGTGGCATGTATTTGCGCACATATGGCATCCCTAATTTCTATTGCCTGCTTTAAGTGCATAGTTCTTATGAGGGCACACTGTTTGGTTAAGGGATCTATCAGTATGTAGGCTCTGCTCCATAAAACAATATTCACATCTAGTTTTCCAGTTGCAGACTGACAGAATCAAGTCATGGCTGTATGTACATGCTTTTGCAATCTTGACGTCCAGGTGATTTTCAAGCCAGTGCCATTTTGCTTTTGTGTTCTGCATGCATGAGCTAGTCCTACCCTGAATCCTCTAAATGTACTGAACTGCAAAGTAAAATTGCTGAGAGCTTGCTTCAGTACCTGAATGGATTTCTTCAGTCATGTATCATGGCCCTGGAAGCCTGGAGCACCTCCCTTAGAGCCATGAGATCCTCCAGACATTGTGGAGCCATCACTGGTCATCCCATGTCAGCCAGGCAGTATAGTCCCACCTACCATGCTGTGTCTTGTTCTGCTGCTCCTTAAGTGTTGATGGATGAGAATGCAGCATTCATCTTGTTTGTCAGATTTATCATATGCTCTGTGTTCAGTCTCCATACTCAATGCCTTTACATAATGATGAGCCGTCTCTGTGATCTAGTGTCCCAAACCACAACTGCCAGCAAACACAGAACCAAACAGTGTGCAGGCCCTGCAAAGCCATATGGTTTGGCAGAATAACACAGCTTCTGCCCTTGAGCCTGCTAAGAAGTCTCACAATGCACTACAGGGGAGTGCCCTCCTGGAAGGAGCTCTGCGTTCCCATGGAGTGGGTGGGTTTGCCCCTACGAGCTGCCACAAGACTCTTTGCACAGCATGAGCTCCAATAACAGTTGATTTGAGCCTGTTAGGCATGGGAGCAAAGGGCGTTGACTGTCTCAACATGGCATCCACATGTGCAGATGTGTGCCTACTTTCTAATATGGACCTGCCTCATACAGATAGTTATTTTTGTACCTTGCATTGGGGGGGGGGGGGGGAGGGGGTCAGGCAGCCTCTGGCACAGCCTTTGGCAGATGCTGCTGTGTGTGCATTTGGGCATGGGCCTACCCCCTTAAGATGTTCCAGTGTAAACTGAACTACACTGGAAGGACTGAGTGTCCAGATTTCAGTTGGTGACATTCTTCATTGTTAGGAGGAAATACCACAGAAAAGGTAACGAAGAACCAGAATACCGTCTTCAATGGTACCTCCTGTCTAATGTTTGCAAATGGCCACGTAAAAATGGGGATTTCCTGCACTTATTTCCAGGCGTGGGCATATCTTCTCAAGGATGCCAAAACATGTATTTATGGATGAGCACAATTGGATGAAAACTCCTAATAGAACCAGCGCCTTGCCTAGTTAATAAAAAAGCTGTTTTTAATAATAACATAGCAACAAAGAGTATGAACTAAATTAGAAAATCATCTGGGTTTACTATTCAAGAACTCACACATAATCATCTTTTCCCCTTTGAATGAGCTTTGACTATAGCGTATACATGAATACTTTGGCTTAATTTCAGCTCAGAGATTTAGAAGTGACTGAAGTAAAGAGCTGAGAAGGAAAAAAATCTTGCAGCATTTCTCCAAAAAAACAAACAACAAGCCAAAACCCAAATATACGTGAGAAGTAGAGCCAGTTCTCAAGAGGAACGATCAGTATTGGTGCCACAGGTATTAGCTTATGCAGCACAGTAAAACTGGGGTTTGCCCATGTCCAGAACCAGCCCAAGTCCAGCAAAAGTAGGCAGCATCTGCATTGCACCCTGCATTATGACTGCCACATTCCTGCAAGTTCCCTAGCAGAAGTGCTTGCAGTCTGGCTCAGATGAGACTCCTCACAACTTCACAACATGCACACTTTGCCTACTACCTGCCCAGTCCTGCATGTCCTGAGTCAGTCACGTTTGCTGGCTGCTGCAGCAGTGTTTGCAGACTCATAGTGTCCCCCGTCAGATCTGATCTGCACGTCTCCAGTATTTTCCTCAGGATATCCAGTGGCTGGGTCTGAACCATCACGCCAACCAAACTGCCCAATGCTTAGAAGTAAACAACAAACTGAAAGTGAAGCCCTTTGAACCCACCCAGTAGCCCTGCCTCAGCCCTCCACAGGGCTTCCTAGTTCAGGTCTAGTGTGGGACAAAGGCAAGAAACCTGCCTGAGAAGGAACCAGAACTCATTCCCCAGGAATCCTGAGTGCTGGCCAATGCCATGCAGGGTTGTTAGTGTGACTGTCATTTTTGCTGTCTACATCTGTGTTATCTAGATTTTAGGGTTATCCACCTTGAGTAAGAAAACCAATTATGGTAATGGTCAAGCACTGGAAGAGGTTACCCAGGGAAGCTGTGGACTCTCCGACCTCAAAGCTATCAAAAACCCAACTGTACATGGTCCCCAGCAACCTGACGCTGCTGGAGGGGCTCAGAGCGGGGGGGTTGACTAGATGATCTCCAGACCTATACCTATTCTATAGCCTTATGTTACATTGGCAGCATTTCACATCTTCGGTACATCTGGAAAGATGCCCAAATCTGTGAAGAAAATACACCCTGGGGAGCCACTGTGGTGCCAGTGCTGTATCAGTGCTGCAAATCATGTCCTTCCAGTCCTGGCTGCAAACATTTTGCTCTGTAAGCCATGTCACCCCTAAGAGCTATTAGGGTAGAATTACATGCAACACATCTCCAGAGAAGCTGGATTCTCCTCTATCAACACAACAGGTTTTTCTTGTAATTCTACAGGTGTAACTGATGTGGCCTTGGGGAAAACATTTTAATTCCTGTGCTGTTAGTTCTGGCAAACCTTCATATTCTGCTGGTTTGTGACCCTGGTTCTGTAAGACCTGACACTCTTTATTTTATTGTCCTACACAGTCAGCTATGTTTAAAAAGTGGAAATACATTAATAAGGTTGAGCCACTACATGTGTTTGCAGTGTTTGGCATCTGTATGTTGTTTCACACAGATGGGCTCCAGTCCAGCTGAGCTCTCGCTGGGTGCTGCTGTAGTGTAGGTGTCATCGTGTGGAGGTCTCCAATACTGACTGGGCTGTACTGAGCCACTTACCTTGGAACAGAGAATATCAGTGATAGATTGAGTGGTTGAGTGATTTCCCACAATGCAGAATTTGTATTACGAAATAATACTGATTTTGGCATAAGCCTCTACTGCTAAAGTTTGAGTATGCCTAAAGCTGTAAGCTAAAGTTAATGGTCAAACCCCTTTGTTTGTGGGATAAAGACAAGTGGTGAAGTTCATGATATAAACTTGGAAGAGATAAAACCCCAACAGCCAAACAGATGAGATAGCAGACAAGGAGGGTAAAGCTGTCAGTCATAATGCACAAAATGGAGTTACACTAAATTAGCATTTTCCTTGGAAAGTATCAGGAAGATAAAGTTAGTATAGTGCAGTAAGGGGGAGATAACTTATGTATCACCATTATCTACTAGAGCTTGTTAAAAAATAACTAGTCATGTGAAAAAAATCACCCACTGAGGGAGCCAGTTAATCTGCAGACTATTTAAGGAGCTAATTAAAAAATAATCTGAATAATTTTGAACTTGAACAACTGCTTGAACCCTGAAGAAGTTCTATTTAGTCTGAAAATCCCCTATCATTTTACCCATAATTAAAATGGGTGAGTGACATGACATGGGGAACTACAGGCTCTGTAGTCTGCCCTGAGGAGGAACTGCAGAGAAGATGCGGTGTATGGTACCATACCTAGTGCCAATCAGTAGGATCAGGGCAGATGCTGCCCCAGTAGGAGGGTTATGGGATGGATGTGGCTTCTTCCTAACCCTGTTGAATGTGTATGTCAGGTCACGTAGTATTTCCTGCTGGCAGGAACAGAAGGCTTTCCAGCTCTGCACAGTGCTGGAAAGTCTCTGTAGCTTCTTACACCTGATACATTTTGCTGAGAAGCCAAAGAGAAGACCAGGCGTTACGTCAGGAACCCAAAAATCTACATCTGAAACAAATTATATCAAATACATTTGGACAAAATTACAGATTGGGTTGATAAACTGAAATAATTTCTTGATATGACAGACTTTTGAAAGGCGTAAGATATTAAATATGTATTCATTACCTTTGATACAGAAAATTACAGCACATGAGTACCTTTCATGCTGATTCCCAAGCTGCTCTATATGATTGATTGATGGCTTGGCTTCATGAACGAAGATTTGGGAAGGGCTTTACCCATGCTTACTACAAGCACGATGACCAAGGGCATGTGGGATATGCAATCTGGTTGGAAAAAAGGCAGCTTAGGCAATCAGGGAGTGTCTGACCAGGACTGTCATCTCCTGAGCGATCCTGAGCTACCCATGCGCTGGTCCGTCCACACGCAAGGTTGGATCTGCAGCTTCCCATTCACCCTGTCATCTACTGTTTCGACCCTCACCTGTCCATACAGACAAGTGAGAGTAAGCCTTCCCAGCCTGCGCAGTGGATTTTTTAGGTGAGGCACATCTTGCACAGAACTGGCCCCAGCCTTTACACCTGAGGTTCAACTGCCACAGCCTAGTTAACTAGGATGGTGACAGCAAAGTCCTCAGGCGTAGGTTTTGTAAGAGTGTCCTTCTCTTAGATGGAAGACCTTACAAGGCTAGACGAGCTCCATCTGCCCAGGTCTGGAGACAGGAGTTTTCCTTCTCCTGTGAGGAAGGCCTGTCTTCACTAACAAAGATTCAGGAAGGGCTTTAGCCCACACATTCTGAACAAGACTGCACAGGTTCAGACCCCTGGTGCGTATGCTTGGCTGAGGAGCCACTGGTGCGAGGCTACCCTCTGTGGGCTTGTGACTGAACGCCTCTAAGTCAGAATCATGCCTTGACGCTTGATGTTGTGCTGTTGCGTCATCGGTTGCTCGAGATTGACCCAGGAGATGATAGTCTTGTTCAGAATGCTGCTCTATATATGACACTAACAACAGCACAGCTATTTGGTGGAAAAAGATTATAAACTTAGGTTATTCAGTAAAGCTTTTGCTGAGCAGAATTACATTAGTATATAATGACATTTTCACATTAGAAGAAAAAGTCAAATAACAAACAGCCAAGTCAAGCAAGACAGGTAATATCTGCAGAAAATGTGATGCTGCCCTTCAGATATTCAGCTTAATATCTGTGGGCTGTTGTTGTGCATCAGGATCCTAAAGCCACAAAGGGAAAACTAGTCTTTGCAACAGAATCATAGAATAGCTTGGATTAGAAGGGACCTTCAAATGTAACCTAGTCCAATACCCCTGCAATGAGCAGGAACACCTTCACCTAGATCAGGTTGCCCAGAACCACATCCAGCCTGGCCTTGAACATCTCCCAGGACGGTGCATCCACAGCCTCTCTGGGCAACTACTCCAGTGCTTCACCACCCTCATTGTAAAGAGTTTTTCCCTCACATCCAGCCTGAACTTCCCTTCTTTATCTTAAAACCATTGCCCCACATCTTATTGCAACTATTAGATTATATTTTCTTATCTAGATGTACGGTAAATACACAGACATTTTTGATTTGTAAAAGAAATACAACTGGAAAAAGCTATTAAAGGAATGTCACAGTGGCAACAATCTTTAACAGTTATCATGATTAAACCTGCAAAAACCTAGCTATTACCTGACGAAAGAAACAAGGTGCCTGTGTAAACCTTGCTCTGCATTGCGCAATAGGAAACAGGAGTAACTCCACCACAGTCTAAAATACAGGGCATGAGTTAAAACAGGCTATACAGTTTCTTTAAAGGCAATAGATGTGACCAGCCTGAGGCACTGCAGAGGGCAGGGTGTAATTTCTTCCTTTGTGAGGGAGAGGGAGGTGTATGCCTCCATGGCACTGCCAGTGCAGCCGATGTCAGCGAGGTGGAAGAATTGCTGAGGTTCCCATCTTGTCCCATCAGTGCTAATGGAACCACTCAGGTGTTACTGGATTATTGCACCACACACACCTAACACAGTGTATGCAGGCAGCTCTTCAGAAATTCACAGTAAATCTGTAATATTCTCTTAAAAGGGGAGAGATTTGACAAGTACCTGATGGGAGATAATAATTTAAAGGTTGTCAGCCCTAATGCATGCAGATACACACCGACGTAAACACTATGCACTTGCTGATTATTGTTTCTTTTTTATTATATTACCTCCTGAGCTTGTAACAGGATTCTTTCCTTTGCAGCCCATGGGGATTGGATATGTCCTTACACAGAGCCTGTCTCCAGACAGCATAAAGCAGTTCTTCCAAAGCAGCAGAACTGCTCAGTAAGGACTTGACTTTGCAGATGCAAACAGTACACTGGTATTTCTGAAAGTTAGTGTTTGGGATAACCTTTAACTGGGATGCTTTAATTTCTCATGTTCTTAACCAGGTCTTGCAGTTCCCAACCTTTAAGGTAAGTAATCCGACAGCCCCGCAGGTCTGACTGCACCGAAGCTCAGGGTTTGTTCATGCTTGTAGTGTATACTGGTTGTCTGTATTTACATTCTGACAGGACGCTGAGTCAGCATCTTCCTCCAGTATGGCTGGGCTTTCTGCATACATCCCTAACCTGCTGCACAGAAAAGAGATGTGGAAACAAAAAGTTGAAATTCTTGAAATAAATAGGCCTGCAGTTTCCCTTTACTTCCCAAAGAAGATTCAAGAAGTCTGTGAGGTCCCCAAGGTTACTCAAGAGCTTAAACTACATCATCTTCCAGAACAGAGTGCTCAGCACTGTCTAGGAAAATGCCCACATTTCAATGGCATTGCTAACATGAGTGAATTGACTAGTTTGTCAGCTGACGTCAGGAAATCCCTCAAGAAGTTGTTCTGTCATTCAGTGGAAGGCTTGCTGACATCAGTTTTAATTAGAATTTGTCTGAACCTGCTATCTCAGGCGTATGGATTACAAGGTTTACTAAAGGGTTCCAGCCACAAGTCCAATGGAAAAACTTTCAGTGTAAAAACCTAGGAAAAGCGAATTCCTTTCCCAGTAGAAGCACAAGGAATTACTAAAACAGATAATTTTGGAACACAGTGCGTCCCAGGATCTCAAACATAACCTTACTTTGTAGGACATAACAATGAGCTTGATTCACTGGGGACTACAAAGGAAAGAGGAGAATGTTCTTCTAAAGCACTTCATTGTCTTCAAGAGGTTTTTTAATTGGATGTACTGTGCAGGGTAAGAGTTGACTTCCAGTCAGTTCCTTTGAGTAATTTACTCTTTAAAATGTCCAAAACATCATTTACAAAAGGATCATGTCTGAGAGCAATGTTAACCTGCAGTTCAAATGTGAACTGTCACC